CATCTTTCTCCCGCGGAGCGGCTGGTAGTTTCGAACCACTGACCTTAAGGTTCGCAGCCCGATTCGTAACCACTACGCTACCAGAGCTCAGGGAACAAATCTTTACAGCATGGATCACTTCTATCCCCTCGGTACATAGGGTTGACAGGGATGGGCTACTTAGACATTGGTTACCCAAAATGGGTGGGAGGGGCCTATAAAGGCAAGAAGTGACTGGCTTACAAGCTTTTCAAGAGGGAGCCTAGTACCAGACTGGGCAGGGGTAGGTAGAACCTCCAATGAATGATTTCCAATCTGTTGGGACCGGGCTGGCGAAAGGAAATGGGGTAAGACTCTTGTGGTACAATAGTGAATAATTGTCATCAGGACTGACTGTGAGGGTAGGAAATGTAGAGGTAGAAGTTTTTTGACCAAAGGAGGGGAGTGACTGATTTTGCAGCCCAGGAGCGGAGGCCCCTGTGACCATCAAATGAGAAACGCAGAGAGCGTGACCCTACCCAGAGAGGCAGTGAGGGCAGGCATGGAGACAGAGATGAGGACGTGGACAGATGGAGTGTCTGGGAACTTGGGACTCAGGGAGGGAGAGGGGCTGTGTGCTGACAGCCAGGGGGGTGCACCTGTGGGGTGTTTCCTTTGGTTATTTGATGATGCATGGAGGGGATTGTAATCATTGTAATGAAACGAAATATGATAGGATGAGTGTGAAGCTGATGTTCTTCCATGTAAACCCACACAATTCACAATAAAAACTTTAAAAAAAACCACAAAGCAATTGTCAACAAGTTAATTTTGACCAATGGGGCTCCCATGAGTACAGGGCAGAATTGTGCTCCCTAGGGGTTTCAGTTCTGTGACCTCTCAGCAGCAGAGCAGCAGGCCTCTGGGTGGGTTTGAACTGCCAATCTTTCGGTTGTTTTTTTGTTAATCATGATAGGAATAGTCTACAGCCAGGCCCATTAGGGAATCTTGGTTATAGGACAGGTGTCCTAGGCTTGGATCTATGACCCTTTATGAAGGTTGTCCAGGCATCACCTATGTCAAACACTTAACCCACGTTTGTGCTACCCATGGACTGCATGGAGAAGAAACCTCCAAAGACAGATCCATACAGAGCGCTTTAAAGGGAACCAAAAGTAGGCCGACTTTCTGGGGCCTGGTGGTGGTGTGTGCCATCAAGTCGCTTCTGACTCATAGCAACCATGTATAGGGTTTCTGAGAGTGCTGATGGGTTTGAACTGCTGACCTTGTAGTTACTAGGCCAGAGCTTATCTTGCAGCACCACATCAGAGGCCCTAGAACTTTGAGTTCCTCCACAAGGACTTCTCATGTGAGGGGTTGCTCAGTGTTCTCTGGATATGCTTACTCATCCTCCAAGATCCTTTTAAATACAGAAATAAACATGATTGTGAATTGAGTGGCGGTTGACAGAGCAGACCATCAGTTTTCTGTTCCGTAAGTCACACACTTCATTTCATCTCAGAGACTGCTCTTCCTTTAGGGTAACTTCACCTGTCCTACTTCTCGCGATTCATCTTTCCACTCCATCGTCCTTCCTAAGACTTCTGAATTTTGTCCTTAGGTAAAAGCTGCCCTTGTGACCATGACCATCCTATGTGTGCATAACTCACTGATGTTGCTATCCCTGCTATATACCCGTCTATTGCTTGGCTGAAACTTGAGCCAGCCAGGGGATTTCAGTTCCAGATCTGAAGAGCAACCAAGGCTCATAGTCTTACACGGTCTCTTTCTGACCAGTAAATCTGGTCATTTTTATAATTTTGAGTTTTGTTCCACATTTTCTCCCATTCTACATAGGACCTTCTAATGTGATCTCTTTCAGAGCAGTTGGTAGTGGTCTCAGGATCATGGAGACTAATGTTCAAAGTTCCATCATCAGTCCACTGGACTAATTGCTTCCAGGCATCTTCAATTTTCATCACTTTTTCCTCTGCACAGGGAGACACCAATAGGTGTACCTTAGATGGTTGCTAACGAGCTTATTTTAAGACCCCAATTGCTACTCACAAAAGCAGGATCTAGAACATTGTCTTTGTGGACTGTATTATGCTAATTGACCACAGTGTCCCCTAAAACTATTGTCCCGAGTCTCCAGGTCCAGCAACTCATTCCCTCAGTTGTTTGGTATTTCTAAGACATTTTCATCATTTTGTCTCATGTATGCTCCACCATGTTCACGAGTATGTTTGCAGCAAAGGTAAATGTTAAGTGCCATTTAGTTGTTCCAACACGTAACAACCGTATAGAAGACTCCCAAGGCTGTAAATCTTTGCAGGAACAGAGTGGGAGGTAGGCTCGAAACGCCGACCTTGTGGTTCACAGTCCAGTGTTTATCCTACAGAGCCACTGTGCTCCCTAAGCTTTATATATGTGTGGGTCACTCCCACACCTGTTCTCCCTGTGCAGCTCCTCCTGTATCTTATTATCACGGTTACTGCAGGATTGTACAGGTAACAGTATTTGCTTCCGTTCTCCTCCCTGTGTCTTCCCCTGCCTTCATCATTCTCTGCCTCTGCCAATCTCCCTCTCTCTGTATATTGCCTTTCCACGTACCCAAGTTAACATGTGTCTACCCTCTAGCCAGTGAAGTACTCTCCTAACATCCTATTTCAGCGTCACCACTTCTGGGAAGATGTCTTAATCCTCCAGGTACGGCTAGTTGCTCTGAACAATGAACCCCCACAGTACGTTCTTTTCCCACCCTCAGTAGTACTATCTATGGTCGTATGGACATCGCTCCGTTAATAGACTAGGAGCTTTTCAAGGGGAGGGGAAGGCCATATTCATTTTGTCCATCTCATGCCTCACACAGCACTTAGCATAGAGAAGGAGCTCAGTCAATGATTGATGAAAGAATGAAGGGAAGAGAGTAAGAGAAGAGGGCAGAGTCGACGTGTGCATGAGGCGGAGAAGCACTCCAAGGAGAAAAGCTCATCTCCAGTATTCTCTGACAAAGAGCACAGGCAACGTGCCCGTGAACCACTCATCGCCCTTCCGTTATGCAATAAGTCCTGCGGTGCTTTTCCACTCTAGTAGACACTTTCCCCAAGGGGAAACTGAGTTCTTACACCAACTGCTCTGTCAGCTCTCTGAGAAGCAGGGCGTTCACAGACCAGTTGCTGGAGCTCTAAACAGCAACAACAAACGGTGTACCACTCAGATAGCAACAGTCAACGGCCGTCCCATAGCCCCATCTTTTTTTTTTTTTTAACTTTTTACTGTGGATTACATGAAGATTTACAAAGGAAATAGATTTCCAGTCAAAAACAATTCCCATGAATTTTGCTTCATGTCATCAGTGACAAGCCCCTCAATGTAACTTCACTTATCCCACTTCCTCCCCGTGTTTACTGTTCCCAGCGCTGCTCCTTTCCTCACCCTTCCTGCCTTCTGAACTTTGCCCTTAAGCAAATGTTGTCCTTCTGATCTCTAACCGTGGACTGTACTAAGGAGTGTTATGATGTTCACCTTATAGAACAGTCTGCTCCACAGCACTGTCTTATAGATGAGAATGGTAGCATAAGGCACGACAGAGAAGACTCATCTCCACGATTTGTGGGGGCTTCTTTCCTCCCTTATTTATTCAAGCTGACAAATCGAAGTCTTGGAATTCTTATCATTCTAGGCCTGGTAAGTGTCTTTCAAAGCCAGTGAGTCTCCCTGTCACAGTACAGCATACCCCTAGCCACCGACTTACCTGACAAGAAAGCTGGGCAAGTAATGCGGTTTCACAAATGCTGTTGCTGGCCAAGATTTACCCTGGCACCCATGACACTTATAATAGCATGGGAGGATACTCTTTACTGACAATTCTAAAGCCCTTCTCTTGTTCATGCTTCTCTTTTTCAGACCTCAGAGGACATCTGAAAAGTGGCTAGTCATCAGGTTCCAAAGGGGTGAGTAAATTTGTAGGACCGTAACCTGAGACACCCTGAACTCCAGGAAGCAGCTTCTGAAAATGAAGCCTCACCTTTTTGAAGGATGTCAGTAGCTTGACGCTCACGTATCCCAGCTTGTTTCTGCGCACATGTTTCAGCAAGAAGGCATCCTTCTCTAGGTTTTCATCAGAAAAGTAGAATTCAATCTGATCCACCAGTCTCTTGATTAATTCCTTGTCTGGTGGCTTCCACTCGGGATCCAGGTCCTCATGCTCATTCTCGCCCCCACTCGTGGTGGCACTGCTGAAATGAGGAGGAGACATGGGGGTCACATCTGAATGGACCATTTGGAGGTGATTATCCCATGGCCTTTAAGGGGACAACTTTTGTTTCCAGCCAGCTAAGAAACGGAGCTTTGTTTTTAACAAGTGCAGAGGGGTGTTAACAATAATGTCATCGACTAACATTTGTGTGGTGCTCTGCCACTAAAAAAGAGTCCAGGTGACTTGGTGAGTTAGGCTTTGGGTTGGTGAGTGAGAGTCAGTGGTTTGAACCCAGCAGCCACCCTGTGGGAGAAAGCTTAGACAGTCTGCTTCCATAAAGACTTACAGCCTCGGAAATCCTGTCAGACGAACGTTCTCCTCGACTGTAAAGGGCTGCTAGGAGTCAGAACTGGCTCGGCAGCCGTGGGCCTGACTTTTGGCTTTTGCCATGGAAGGAATCCTACGTGATGCCAACAGTTAAACACTGACTACTAACAAGAAAGGTTAATGAGTTTTACCCACCAGAGGTGGCTTGGGAAATGGACTTGGCTATCCTGGTGTGGCAAGGAGCTCTGGTAGCGTAGTGGTTACGAATTGGGCTATGAACCGCAAGGTCAGCAGTTCGAAACTACCAGCTATTCCGCACAAGAAAGATGAAGCTTTCTGCTCCTGTAAAGATTTACAGCCTCGGAAATCAACTCCACGGCACCTAACAACAACAACACCCTGGTGTGGCACTATGGGTTAATGTGCTGGACAGCAAAGTCGGTTTGAACCACAAGATCAGCAGTTCAAGCCACAAGGTCAGCGGTTCAAGCTCACCAGCGGCTCCTTGGAAACCCTATACAGGGTCGCTATGGGTCAGAATTAACTCGACGGCACTCCACAACAACAATATCCAACAACAACAATCTACTTCCACAAGGTCAGAGTCCTCAGAACTCTATGCAGGTCCAGTTCTACTCTGCAACACAGAGAAGGTCACCATGAGTCAGAATGGACTTGACAGCAATTGAGTTCTTGGTTTTTATTGAAAAGTTCCCTTTTGTATAGACTGTCTTATTCTGCACCACTCCACCTCCTGGCACCCCAGTTTTGATTTCTAGAAAGCAGCATAGCACAGCAACTAAGAAGACAAGCTCTAGAGTTACATGTCTTGGGTTCAAATCCTGGTACCAACATTTACTAGCTGAATGAAATTAGAAATATTTTGACAGCAGAGAAGAAGCTAGAGAAATGTATCTCTAGACTATTCAAACTTACTCAAACTCAGAAATAATAATTTATGTAAAATACAGGTCCTGGCTGAGTTTATAAATGAAGAATCTTAATTATTTGCTTGCATGCAGCCTGGAAATGGTTTTTAAATTACCTTATTAACGTCCAAGGCAAATGGGTAATAAAGAAATGGGAGACTAACTTTAAAGTGTATCTTTAACAGTCTTCTTAAAGTGAGATGATGAACCAAAGGAATATATTAGGACAATCCATAACATTTAACAAGTGAAACTGAGATAAGCTGAATATTTGAGATGTCCCTAAAAGGTAATCATTGCTGACTCATCCAACATCTGGCAGCAAACGGTTTTTCATTTACCTTCTTTTACTTCAGAGATATTGAAATTGCCATGGACTGCCAAAAGAACCAACAGATCTGTGTTGGAAGAAGTGCAGCCAGAGTGCTCCTTGGAGGCCAAGATGGCCAAACTTCATCTCTCATACTTCAGCTATATTGTCAGGAGGGACCAGTCACTGGAGAAGGATATCATGTTTGGTAAGGTGGAGGGTCAGAGAAAAAGAGGAAGACCCCCAGAGAGATGGATTGGCAAAGTGGCAGCATCAATGGGTTCAAGTGTAGCAACCATTGTGAGGTTGGCCCAGGACTGGGCAGTGTTCTGTTCTGTTGTGTATAGGGTCGCTATGAGTCGGTACCGACTCGATGGCATGTAACAACAACCTTACAGAGATGCTATAAGCTAAATGCATTCCCAGCCTCTCTTACAGGTTATTGTTGCTGTTGTTGTCATGTGCTGTCGAGTTGTTTCCGACTTATAGTGACCCTGTCTAGGGTTTCTGAGGAATGGTTGGTGAGTTTGAACAGCTGACCTTGCAGTTCAAACTGACCTCTCAATCCAGTGCATTATCCTGTAGTACCACACCAGCATTCCCTCTTACAGGCTTTTTGTTGTTGTTAAGTGCCGTCAAGTCAATTCTGACTCATAGTGGCCTTGCATAGGGTTTCTACAGAGCAGCTGGTGAGTTTGAACCGCTGACCTTGCAGTTCAAACCAACCTTTCCGTCCAGTGCATTAGCCTGCAGCGCCACACCAGGACTCCCTCTTAGAGGCAGTAGTAGCCATTGGTCATGTTACGGCTAATAACACACAAGTGTAAATCTCTTGGCTCCGCCCCTTTCTCCTTTTATCTGCTTTGAGCGTGGAGGTGATGGCTGGAGCTGCAGCAAGCATTTTGTTGTTGTTGTTGTTATGTGCTGTCAAGTTGGTTCCAACCCATCGCTACCCTGTATAGGGTTTCCAAGGAGTAGCTGGTGAGCTTGAACCACCGACCTTGTAGTCAAACCGATGTTGCAGTCCAGCGCATTATCCCACATGCCACACTAGCAACCATCTTAGTACCAATAAAAAAAAGGCTAAGAGAATCAGAGATTTGTACCTAGATGGTACTGAGTTGCTAAATCAAATCCTATTACAACCTACTTTCAGATTACTGGTTAGTACATGTGTTTAATTAATTTACTTGTAAGTTTGGTTTTTGTATCACTTACACTGTTGGGCTGGTGACTTGATTTTTGACAGAGAGCTTCTCTGTGCCAGAATGAAACTGTCCCATGGGGTTTTCTAGGTTGTAATCTTTATAGAAGCACACTGTCAGGCCTTTCTTCCACAGACTCACTGGGTGGGTTCAAACCATCAACCTTTAGGTTAGCAGCTGAGTGCTTAACCGTGGTGCCACCAGAGCTATTACTTATAGCCAGTATAATAGTGAACAGGCCAGTAACTGCCTGGAGTGGTGCTGGAGATAAGTACTGGGCTGCTAACCACAAGGTCAGCGGTTCAAACTCACCAGCTGTTCCTTGGAAACCCTATCTAGGATCCCTATGAGTCAGAACCAACTTCATGGTACTTAACAACACACTAGTAACCTACCAGCTGTCTATCAGTTTTTTGTACTGTGGTGGCTTATGTGTCACTGTGATGCTGAAAGCTATGACACTAGTATTTTAAATACCAACAGGGTCACTCGTGGTTTCAGCAGAGCTTACAGATTAAGACCGACTAAGAAGAAGAGGCAAACCACTTCTGAAGGGTTAGCCACTGAAAACCTTGTGAACAGCACAGAACAATGTCTGAGATAGTGCCAGAAGATGAGTCCCTCAGGATGGAAGACATGCAAAACACACAGGGGAAGAACTGTCTCCTTAAAGTAGAGTTGATGTTACTGACATGGGCGGAGCAAAGCTTTCAGAACATTCATATGCTGATGGGATAAAACTTAAAATAAGAAGAAACAGCTGCATATGTCATGAATAACTGGAATATGGAATGTATGAAGTTTGCATCTAGGAAAATTGAAAGTCATCAAAAATTAAAATGAATACGTAAGATTGATATGCTAGGCATTACAGAGCTGAAATGGACATTTTGAATTGGACAATCATATTGCTTATTATGCTGGGAACAACTAACTGAAAGCAATCAATTTCATCATCAAAAAGTGTATCTCAAGATCTGTCTTGAAGTACAATGCTGTCTGTGGCACGATTATATCCACAGCCCTACAAGGAAGATCAGTTGATACAATTATTATTCATATTTATTTAAGTCACCAAAGCCAGTGATGATAAAATTAAAGAATTTTACAAACTTCTTCAATCTGAATCTGATGAAACATGCAATCAAGATGTACTAATTACTGGTGATTAGAATGCAAAGAGTAAGAATTGTTGTTAGTGCGGTAGAGTCTGGTCCAACTCATAGTGACCCTGTATAGGGTTTCCAAGACTGTAAACTTTGTAGAAGCAGAATACCTCATCTTTCCCATGGGACAGTTGGTGGGCTTGAACCGCTGATGTGGTTCACAGTCCAGTGTTTCTCCTACAGAGTCACCATGCTGCAGAGACAAAGAAGAGGACTGGTAACTGGAAAATATGGTCTTGGTGAAATGATGCTGGAGATTATATGACAGAATTTTACAAGACCAATGGCTTTCTTTATGGAAAATACGTTTTTCACAACAAAAGTGGCAACTATATATGTGGACCTCACCAGATGGAACATGCAGGTATCAAACCGACTACATTATTTGGAAGAAAATAATGGAAAGGCTCAGTATCATCAGCCCAAACAAGACCAAATGCCAACTGTAGAACAGACTAACAGTTGCTCATATGCAAGTTCAGGCTGAAGCTAAAGAAAATGAAAGCAAGTTCATGAGAGCCAAATTATGATTTTGTGTCTATCCCACTTAAATTTATACACCATGAACTATCTCAGAAACAGAGTTGATACATTAGACAATAATGATTGAAGATCAGAAGAGTCGTGGGATGGTATCAAGATCATCATACATGAATAAAGAAAATGGTTATTAAAAAGACATGAAAGAATGAAAAGACAAACTGGATGTCAAAAGAGGCTCAGGAAATTGTTCTCTAACGTAGAGAAGCTAAAGTGACTGGAAGAAATTATGATATAAAAGAGTTGAACAGAAATTTTCAAAGGATAGCTAGAGAAGACAAAGTTTAAGTATTGTAACGAAGTGCTCTAAGATCTGGAGCTAGAAAATCTAAAGGGAAAAATGTTCAGCATTTCTTAAGCTGACAGAACTGAAGCAAACTTCAAGCCTTGGGATACTGAAAGATTCTATGGGCAAAATATTGAAAGATGGAGGAAGCATTAAAAGAAAATGGAAGGAATACACAGAGGCAATGTGCCAGGAAGAATTGGTCAATGTTCAACCATTTCAAGAGGTAGCATATGATCAAGAACTGATGGTATTGCAAAGGAAGAAGTCCAAATTG